CCCTGTTTCGAGTTGAAGGATATTTTTCTTATGTGGATTTCCTTAAAAATCAAAAAAATCCTTTTTTTCGGGATTAAAAATATTTTTCCGGAATTATGGAAAAAATCCTTTTTTTCCAGGATTAGAAATATTTTTCCGGAATTATGGATATTTTTCCTAAAGGACTCTTCTTTAATAATTCACATCTCGTTGTAGGAGGAAGAACATTTTTGGAAAATTATTTAAAAATCTAAACCTTTTTCCAGGATCCAGAATTTTTTCATGTGGGAATATTCCTCTGAAATTAAAGATTTTTTCCCCAGAAAAAAAGTATTAGTATTTTTGATATTAAAAAAAAATCTACCTGATATCCCAGGATGCATTCCCTAAGAGATATTTTTTTCTAGGATAATGTATATATTTTCTGAAGGCTATTTTGAAATGAAGGATATTTTTCTGGAAGTAGAGGACGAAGGATATTTTTTCCTGAAGTATTTTTTGTAATTATCCTTGTAATTTTCAATGTTACTGCTTTCTATATTTGGAGAGAGTGTTTTTCTAAGTAGAACTTTTGAAAGCCTCTCTCTCCCTCCCATCAGGACCAATTCATTACAGAAATGAAATCCTCTCTTTTCTCCTCCTATTGTTTTTTTTTTTTTCTTTTATCTCCCATACCCACTGTCCTCGCTAAATACCGTTAATGATATTGAAAATTTTTGTCATTTCCTCCCCCCTCTCTGTATGTGCTCTCTTTTATTTCCCGTTTAGCTGGCAGCTACGTTCGTAGCTAAAAAATAATGATTTCGAACAGCCATTGAATGGGCCATAAAGTTGTGATAACAATAGCGAAAACATTCAGGTCTATCTTATCTTTCGATTCTCCCAAATGGAGCATAAATAATGCAGAGCTAAGGTGGAAATCAGATCTTCCATGTATGACAAGGCAGGGAACCTGTCATCTTTTCACGGCCGAGAAATAAATCTTCAATTTGGGGATTTGGGCGAAAAATTGCTGAATTATTATCATCGAATATGCTGTGTCTGCCTTCCTTTCCCCCTTTTATGGAATTGAATTTATTTATGGGCGGGATACCTGTGGATTTTTTGGGAATCGGAAATGGAAATTACATTTTATATTGAGAGAGAGAGAGAGATTTGAATATCTTCAATACGTTTTAGGGTTCTTCAGGGGGTTACAAAAAAACTCCAAAATATCCCATTACAATATTTCAAAATCCTGGGAAAATATTGATTCCTACCCCTCCGAACCACCTGCCAAATCGATTAACAAATATTTTGATCTTTAAAACAAACTTAAAGCATTAAAAGCTTGTCTATCATTCTCTGCCGCCCTCTCCCCATTCCCCTCAACCTCTCCCCTAAACGCCCCTGCCATATCACAACATTCCAATTTTCACAACCCGGGGGCTAATACACGAGTCTCATGTGTTCAATTGAGACGCGTGTGCTTGCATTGACGTTGTTAAGTCCCCTCCTCCCCCCCTCTCCACTCTCTCTCCGTTAAATACGAACACAAGCAAAAATATTTACGTTCTTTTTAGCCATAGATTTTCGATGAGTTTTTTTTTTTTTGCAATTTTGGCGAGTATCAGCCCTTGAAAATGTTTTTCCAAACGCAGCAGCGACCACAATGGCATTACAGACAAGAGAAGAAAAAAAAACCTTCCAAAACATTTATGACTTTATGACATTTTATATGGCAAGGATCTGAGGAAAAAGCAAAAATAAAACGAAAACAACAACAGCAAATCAAAGATTATTTTTATTTTTCACTTGTTGTCGTTGTAAAAAATAATGGCTTTGCAGACTGTTTATGGAAACGCCATGTGAGGCTCCAATAAAAAATGGAAAACAAGTGGGTCTGACTGACTCACTACCTCATTTCGTATTTTGGATTATTTACTTCAATGCAAAAAATATTGAACGGCAATGGGGGGAGGGGGCGCAAGAAAAACAGGCAATTTTATTTTCTCTTTCATTAGATAAGTGCATCATTTAGGGATTAAAGCTAGGAAAACAGTGAGAGGGGAAGGAAGGGGAAAAATAAATTCGATTTCAGTAAGTCTTCAAAAAAAAAAAAAAATCAACAACCAATGACGACAAATTTTAAAGAAAAATGCAACCAACCAGGATTATAGAGTAAATATTTAAAAAGTATGAAAAAAGCGGAGAGAATTTGAGGAGTTTATGTTTAGGTTGAGCTCAAGGACTAAACTACAACCGTTTAGAGATCTCTCCTTCAAACAAAAATTGGTGTTTGTTTGTGCTTATTATGCCCTGTAACACACATAGTATGGAGGGTATTCAAGTTCGTCATTCCGTTTGTAACTCATCGAAATAAAAATTTTAGACCTAACAAGGTAACAGTGTAAAAATCTAAGCCCTGTCGGTTCGTCTGTTGTAATCACGCTAGAGTCAAAACGAATGAAGATAGGAAGCCAACATTTTGCAGAGATCAATCTTTTATGTGCAGACATGTCAAGTTGAAGATGGGCTTTATTGGTCCACGATATCGTATAGCTACCACATAACGGTACCCCCCCCCCCTAAATATTCGGTATTTTAATGATTTTAGCCAAATTTTTCAATGGAATTTTCAAAAACCACACAAAGAATTCTTTCTGAGTACTTTACCCCCTGAAAGTGCCACAATGTCATACGCCATAATTTTTACGTTTTTTTTTTTTTAAATTTTATTGAATGAAAGCAAAAAAAAATGTCGAAAATAGCATCAAATTCTAGAATAAGTTTAGATTTGTTCGAATTGGTCATCTTTGACACGAATTATGGCCTTTAAACGGCCAATGAAACCGTCTCACGCTGCCCGAAAATTGCTCTGCGGTATTTTGGCCCATTTCCGGCAAAGCGCTTGCTTGAAGTATTTTTTAGTTCCAACTTTGCTTTCCAAAATATTCCAGACACAATGGTCGTAGATTTTGGTTGCCATTGTGCCCTGGAAATGAAGCGAGGAACCTAATTTTGTAACCATTCTTGGGCGGGCATGTACTAAATGCGATGGTGCTGAGTCCTGTTGGGCAAGCAAACATTTTGTTATGCGGCCAAAATGTTTGCTTGCCCAAGGCTTTAATACACCCTCCAGAATATTTTCGCGATAATATTCGGCATCTGATGCCACGGTCGATTAATACGAGCGGAGAGTGCCCATCGGCTGTTATGGTGGCCCAGACAATCACCATGGCCGGCGCTTGAGTTCTGGTGGCCAACCGAAGGTGCACATTTTCAGCTGACCTCTTTGGTACGTAAACACGATCATTTTGTTTGTTTACAAATTGCTGAACAACGAATGTTTTCTCATCGGAGAACGGAGAAAACCAAATTCGGCAGTTCACCACTTTCGGCCAAGCGAAGCAACTCTTTAGCTCTTTTGAGTCTATTTTCTTTCTTTGCCGTTGCGCTGTAAGTTCTTGCACTTTTTGGAATTTCAGCGGCTTTACCCCGAGCTCATTTTCAATATTTGCCGAATATAATATTGCGATATGTTCAGCTAACCAGCCATTTTTCGGCCACTGCGACCGGGGTTTCGATCAAGTCACTTCTTTACTTTTCGAACCATTTCTGCTGATGTTGCTGTTTTCTATTATTTTTCAGGCTCCAAACCTAAAATCCACATTTTTAATTGACTATCCCAAATAACCTTTTCCCAACACCACATGTCTTAAAATGTCCCTCACGTCTGTTTTTGTAATATTCCAGCCTCGGCAGGAATTTTATTTATATTCCACGTATTAGAAGAGATTATCCAAAATTAACTTTTACCTAATCTAAACCATATAATGCTAAACAGGTCCTTTTCAAAATTTACAAGCCTTTGAAAAGGACTTTTTCTGTAATTTGCGTCTTTTATCACTTCACTTAGCAAAAGGATCTTACATCTCTGAAGGACCTCTTTTCGAAGAATCATTTTCACGACACAAAAGGACAATTTTCCAAATAATTTTTTTTCAATATTCCAAGGGTCCTTTTCTAATATAACCAAAAAAGTATATTTCCTAATGCTCTACAATGCTGAAGGTGTTTATTTAAGAATATATATTGCTCAGAAGCATACATTTTTATAATTCTATCCCAGCAGAAAAATTAAATGCCAGATATTATAGCCGTTAAAAGGATATTTTCCTTGGAGGATCTGTTTTTTTAATATTTTGCATTTGTCGCCAAAGGATTTTCTTTTTTTTTTTAAAAAAACCTGGAGATATTCTTTATTACCCAACAATTCACATCATTTTTTTTTTTTTTGAGTATATATTTTTTTACTTCCGAACTCTCTTCCCTCTCTGAAGGATATTTTACAAACTAAAAGATATTTTTGGGAAATGTGTTTTTCTGTTCCTTCCTCGCATTGAAAGGCATAGAGATTTCCTAAAACTTTTTTTGGCTAGAAGATTTTCCCCTAATTAGGGTGTTAATTTTCAATCTGAGTTATATTCTCTTAATGTTTTGTGAATATTCTATTGGCGAACTAGCCTCATTTAGCCGAAAAGATTTTTTCTAAAAAAAGATATCTTGGAATGTTTTTCATTCACAGGTTCTTCTATTCTATGAGGCTGTGTTTCTGATTGGAAATTATGTTTTTTCGAAGGAAACACTCCTGAAAATTTTTCCTAATATGCTGGATATTTTCTTGAAGATGTGAACATTCTTTGTTCGAAGGATTATCTCCAGAAACTATACATATGACAATATTTTATTTTACGTAACGCTTTCTTCGTTTCTATTGAGCAGATTTGCTCATTAGAAAACATATTCCTCAAAAGAAAAAAAAATACTAAAAATAAATTTTCATTTCTTGGCTGGAGCACATTTATTTCAAAAAACCCCTTTTACTTTTCCTTGACGATATTCTACCCAAACTTTTATTAATTTTTTTTTTTTTTTTTTTTTTTGAATAATTTTTGTGAATACCCCACCGATATTTTAAAATTCCAAGCACATAAAATTAATGTTATTATCTAATTAATTTTAATTTCATTTCTACTCACAAATTCCTGTTGAGGACTGGCGGCTACCCAATTTTCGGGATTGGTTGGTAAGGCCTCAGCTAAACAGGGATCAAAACTGGACGGTCGCTTTTTAACAAAGTCCACGGGCAGACTATAATCATCACAGATAGCAATCTGAAAAAGGGAGGGAGAGAGAGAGAGAAAGAGAGAATGAAATAATGATTAAGAGGAAATACATTTAAGTAATTTGTAAATTGTTTGTTCAAATAATTAAACATATTTGGAATTACAACTTCGACATCATCATCGTCAACTTTAACATCCTGGCCATAATCATCATTGGCGGCACATCCACCAGACAATCAACCACCAAAATACAACAACAAAAAGATGCCATTAAGGCCATCACCCCTTGTCTTCCTGGGTTTTCAGCTTGCTTCCTTATTATTGCACTCATGTAGCCAGAAGAGTAATCCTTAAATCTCACAAGTTAAGCACGTAGTCGAACAAACTCCCAAAATGTAGTGGGGAGGGCAAAGAAAGAAAAAACCCGGCGAAGGTCAGACAGAAATGATAACATCGCATCCTTTTGATGGCCCTCACTAAATAAAAGAAATTCCCGAAATTTTGTGGATTCAAAAAAACCGAACAAATTTCCCAGCAACTTTTCCGAGAGCGTGTTTGCCTCTCATATCATCCTTCGGCCACGAAAAGTAAAAGTATTTTGTAATTATGATCCCAGGTTTTTAACGGGCTCATACTTTGCGTTTAGCGTTAATGCTTCCGGTTTGCCTCAGGCGCACGTTGGGCAAAAAAAAAAAAAAAACGGAGCAAAGTAAAATAATTCATAATTCTTTGGTTTTCTTTCTTAAAAGCATTTTTGTTCTTCTTTTGGGAGTCTGGCAGGCAGGCAGGCAGGCACGCAGCCTTTCAAGAGGACTTATTTTCTTAAACAGCTGCTTAGCATTAAAATAATGGCCATGATGATGACGATGAAGGGAAGAGGGTAATTTTATACGCTTTCCTGTTGTTTTGTTGCTGCTAAAACGTTTTTCTCAAGAAAATAATTATCATTCCTCGTGTCGTCGTTTCTGGTATGGGTGGTGTTTGAAACAAAGCTGAGTTTTTCAAATTTCTTAGCCATGGATATGTGAAGAGAATTTTTTTTGTTCCTTTTTTTTAGGAATTTTTATTTTTTGAAAAATGGGCACGTCTTAGGAATTTCTTTTCAATTCGAAATATAATAAAAGGCATATAAATCACAATTTTTCATTGAAACCCCATAGGGGAGGGCTGGTTTTGGAGGGAAAAAATGTTCCAAAACGTTTTGTCTTACATATTTAGACAATTTAAAACAATACCAAGGGAAACTCTTGAGCAGACAAGATGACAACTCAGTTTGGGTTCTCAAAATAAAATATGATAATGGCAATGGCAGGAGGAATCGTCCTTAAAGCTTTAAATGCCAAGATTTTGAAAGAGTTTAAAGTGCCATAGCAAAATTAGGGGAAATAAATGAAAAAAGATACGCAATGGAGGTGATCCGAGTAATGGGTCCATAGAATCCATTTGGAAATTAGTATTTTCTCAAAATTTTGCGTGCAAGGTGGGCAGTACCTTGGCATAACCTAGTGTAAATTTCGTAAAAATATCTTTAAATGCTAAGCTTTTGAAAGGGTTTAAAGTGTCATAGCAAAATTGGGCGAAAAAATGGAAAAAAGAAACAATTGAGGTGATTCAATTAATGGGTCCAGACATTATTTTTGGAAATTAGTATTTTCTCAAAATTTTGCGTGCAACGTGGGCAGAGCCTAAGCATTATCTAGTGTAAATTTTGTAAGAATATCTCCACTGGTTCCGTGATTATTAACACAGCCTTTCATATGAAGTAAAAAGGTTACATGGATTAAAAAGGGAAATAATCAATGTTTTGGTTCATAGCTCAGCTTGTGGGTTTGTAAACCTACTAAAAATCACCACATATTTCAAGGGCCATTTTATCATGACCTGTGTAAAAAATCAAGACGATATCTCCCATAGTTCAGTTGCTTTGGTGAAAAGTGCGAATTGCCAATTATTAACAAAGAAAATAAAATTTAATTAGGTTATCCAAATTTTGGTTCGGAGATTGGATTCTGGAAAAGCTATTTTCTCACCCTTTATAATTTATGTCACGCAGCTCTTCCGCAATTCGGATGTAAATTTTCGTGGTGCTATCTCGAGTGTTTAGTTAAGGCCTAACATGCTTTGAATATCACATAAACCAAAAGTGCGACTAATGGAGGTTACCAAAATATGGGTTCATAACTTAGCCAAGGAATTTTAAAATCTCACACAAATTAATGCATAGTTTAAGGAGCATCTTCTCATAGACCATGCTAAAAATCGTGATGATATCTCTAGCATTTCCAGAGATTTGATGCAGGGGTCTAACTTCAATTTTTATTCGAAGGAAAAAAATTAAGAATCAGAGAATGTTGAAATGTATGGGTTCAGAGCTCGGATTCTGGAAGAGCTATGCATCCCTACCTTGGTATACGAGGTTGGCAACTCTTCGACAATTCTGCTGTAAATTTTCGTGATGATAACTCTATTGGTTCGCTTACAACAACCATGGATTTTAATATATCACATACCAGCACATAAGTTAGAGGGGTTTCCAAATAAGATTATCTGTAAATGGGTTCATACCCCCGCTTATGGAGTTGCCGATCTAACACAAATTAGCACACAGTTTGAGAAGCATCTTGTTATGAACTGTACTAAAAATCGTTGATATATCTCCAGTATTTCGGCAGATTTGGTGGCGGAAATTAATTTAATTTTTAATAAAAAGAAGCTAAAGAAATATCTTTTGAGAGATTGATTTTATGGGTTCAGAGCTCGGATTCTGAAAGAGCTATGCATTCTTCCTTTCGTATTTGAAGCAGGCAACTCTTCGGCAATCCTGCTGTAAATTTTCGTCATGATATCTCCATTGGTTCGTTTCAAACTTACATTGGATTTAATGTGTACCACAAATATGTTTGAAGAGTTTCTAACAAAGGTTATCCATAAAAGGGTTCATACCCCGGCTTATCGAGTTGCCAATCTATCACAAATTAGCACACAATGTGAGGAGTACCTTGTTATGTACTGTGTTAAAGATCGTAAAGATATCTCCACTATTTCGGTTGATTTGATGCCGGACACTAGCTACATTTTTTATACAAAGAAATTAATGTTAAAGAAATATGAAATGTATGGGTTCAGAGCTCGGATTCGGGAAGAGCTGTCTATCTATTCTTTCGTATACTAGATAGGCAACTCTTCGACGATCCTGCTGCAAATTTTCATCACGATATCTGTAGTAGTTCCATAGAACTATTTATATGCCTTGTAATATATACCACATAAAAGCAAATATGTTTGAAGTATTTCCCACAAAGACTATCGATCCATGGGTTCATACCCTTGCTTATAGAGTTGCCAATCTAATACAAATTAGCACACAGTTTGAGGATCATCTTGTTATGAACTGTGCGAAAAATCATGATGATATCTCCAGCATTTCCGGAGATTTGATGCGAGGCTCTAACTTTAATTCTAATTTAAAAAAAAAGAGTTAAAGGAATATCATGGGAATGTATTTGTTCAAAGCTCGAATTCCGGAGGAGCTATGCATCCCTTCTTTGGTATACGAGGTTGGCAACTCCTCGACAATCTAGCTGTAAATTTCCAGCACGATATCTCTTCGTTTACAAATTACATGTGTTTTAATGTATACCACATTAAATTCCAAAAGTTTCCAAAAAAAAAACCTAAAAGTTAATTCAGCGTTCATATCTTAGCTCCTGAACCTGCTAGGGTCTCCTTATTTCCCACAACGTTTAAGGGGTATCTCAGTATGATTTGTGTTAAATTTCAGAAAAATATCATAAGTATTTCTATTTATTTTACTAATAATTTTAATCTACAAAAATACCTTCAAATTACCTTATGTGAATAAGGAAAAGAAGTTATGGTTCATAACTCCGCTATTTTCCCAGTTAGGGTCCTACAATTTTTCACACAGCTAGAAATGTGTTTCGAAATTATGTGTGTCAAATTTCATTAAGATTAATACATTACATTGATTGTTTTGCCCTACTTATCTAAAGTTATTGTCCCTAAGGACTTTATCACCCACACAAATAAACTTGTCATTAGTGTGTGTGTGTGTGTGGGTGTTGAAGTTTTCCCTAACATTTTCACATAGTTTTCACGTTCTCCATGGCTAACATATTACATTTCCTGCAATATGTTGTATGTCTGTTTTAGAAAACATCAAAGTAATCAATCTTTTTTAAGTTCGGAACTCCAACACTCGAACATGTCCTGCCATCAATCACTGACAGGGAATTGCAACTTGTTTTTTGCCACTAAAAATTTACGTTTATGGTATTAAGGGCCAAGTGCTTTAGCGTGTGGCATGTTAAAAAGCTTTACTTGCTCTTTTAGAATTTTCTTGTTGTTTTTGTTTCGTTTTTTTTTTTTTTTTGTCCTACCACACCTTACGTTAAGACATTTTTCAAGTTGAAGGTCATTTCTGGTAGTTGTGCGCCTTATAAAAATCTATGACAACGTTCGTGTAAATATGGTGGCCAAATGTTGTTTTTCAGCGTAATGAGGAGGTGGTTCAGTGGGGGGTGGTATTATAAAAATAAATTTACACTTGAAACGCATTTCGTACAGAGCTGCGAGTTTTGTTATTATGATGAGCAGAAGAAGCCCTTCTTTCGAAATGTCAAGGTCTTCACTTCAGATGATTCATTTGCACAATCTTTTATAGCAAGGGTTATGGTTGGATGGGACAGCGTGAGGTGGGAGGGGAGGGGAGTTGAGGTTGCTATTCTATTTTTGATTTTCAACCACACTTATACCTCAAAGTACAGCTGCAAGCGATACAATTGACGACACTGCCAACAATACCATTCGAGCTCCTTGTTGTGGGACATCTGTCGGGCCACTTCATCTGGCATTTGGAGACAGCGATTGTGATAGAACCAGGCACAGGGCCCCGAACATTGTATGAAACTGTCTTTGGGTTTGAAATCCAACCAGCAGCGGCGACAAAACATTTTGGGGTTTTGCGTTTTTTGTTGTTTTTTTTTTTTCTACTTTGGAGCACAGGTGTGAACGTTAGGAAATTACTT